AATAAAAACATCATCGCTTTCTCAAAATCACATAAAGCCATATTATAACATCGACTGAGATAAATAATAAAATGAAATATTAAAATCATGATTAATCTCGCTGCATTGCGCGAGTACGCTTCTAGTATATATATATATATATATATATATATGTATATATATATATATATATATATATGTATATATGTGTGCACACTCGTGTATATTAAATATTTTTTTGAAATAAAATATATTGTATATTAAAATTAAATTTAAGGTATACTAACTATAATATATATATTAAAGATAATAATTAATTAATTAACTTAATTAAATGAAATTATAAAAAAAAGTTATTTTTATTTTTAGATTTAATTATGAATTTCGTCCCTGTGGTTTATGTGGTTTTTATTAAATTGGTTCCTTAAGTAAGGACAAAAAAATGAAAAAGACGAAAATATTCTCAAGGTTAACAAAGGAATTAGATGTTCGTTAGAGTGAGAGACCAATTCATTATAAAACGATAAACGACAAGTACTAATATGTAATAAATAAAGTTTAGATATCATTTCCGTAAAAACCACCAAACCATATGGACCTAAAATGAAATAGTGCAAAATGAAATGTAATTGTTTGATAATTGTTTACAATAAAATTAGAACGCCAAATGGTTAAAAGGATCTCATGATACAAAATTATTCGGAACATTTTAGAATCATTAAAAAACAAACCTTTTTTTCTTAAACAAGGTTCGCGTCTTAACGATTCAAATGTTATTTCTTGATGAAAATCATCCTCGTTTGCGGTGACACAAAATTGCTGTGAGACAAAATGGGGTGGAATTACAGTTCTACCCTTGTGCAGAAAACTTGAAAAATAAGGAGGGCAACAACACAAGGTTTAAGGAAGGGTTTACTCATCGTCTTCTTCAACCTCATTTCCACTCCTTATCCACCCACTCACTCCACCTCACACCGGAAGCAGCAAATATCGAAGAAGGCAACCCTGGCTTCATCAGCAATCTTTTCCCCAAGCCCTAGAGCTGACCTTCAGTCTCCATGGTCAACCAAAAATGTCAAACCAAGAAACCCGCAAAAACCAACTGGCCATCTTCCCACCCTTCAACTCTTCAAAAACCAATCTCAAAATCCATTAATTTATTCATCCTCTTTTCCACACAACCTCAAATTACCCTCTCTAAAAGACCCAATTTCTTCCACCCATTCTCACCCACTGCCTGACTCCGTCGATGAAAACTTCACCAAGAGTCTTGAAAATCTTGCAACTCTAGAGCGAATCACACATGGTTTAAATTCGGTATCTAATTCGGAGATTAAGCAGAAAAGGGTTTTCATTCAAGAACCACCTTGGATTACTTCGCTGCTGATGAAGAATTTCTATAGGAGCAGTGTCAAGAAGAGGGTTAAAGTGGAAATTGAGAAGAGAAATTATTATTTGTTGAGGAGGAGACAGATAAAAGCAGAGACAGAGGCTTGGGAGAAGATGACTGAAGAATATAGGGAGTTTCAAAGAGAAATGTGTGAGAAGAAATTGGCACCTAACTTGCCTTACGTCAAGTCATTGTTTGCTGGTTGGTTTGAGCCATTGAGTAAAGCAATTGAGAAGGAGCAGAAGTCCCCCAACACTAAGAAGCATCAGGAGGCATATGCCCCTTATATTGATTCCTTGCCGGCTGATAAAATGGCCATTATTGTGATGCATAAGATGATGGGGCTATTGATGATGGGTCATGAATATAGATATGTTCGGGTGGTTCAAGCTGCTATTCAGATTGGAATGGCAGTTGAATTGGAGGTGAGTTGGTAATTTCCCATTTAATATTTTAATTGACATGAACATGCCTAATGTTTGAAAATAATCTTTAACTGTGGATCTAGGTGCTGCATATTGGTTGTTTTTATGAAAAAATTCTTAAGTATGTGTAGACAAAGATGTATTAACGGGTAATTTTCAGGTTAGAATTCAGACTTTCTTGGAGAAAACCAAGAATAGCTCAAAAAAGAAGGTTTTAATTCAAGCTCAACCAGATGTAACCAAAGAAAATGAGATGCTCCGGAAACGTGTTAAAACTTTGATCAAGAGGAAAAGAATAATGGAGGTCCAAAAGATTTTGAGAAACGAAGAATACCAACCTTGGGGCAGAGATAAGCAAGCCAAGGTTCATGCCCACCAATCTTTGTTTCTTCTCAAAATATGTACTCCCTGTCTCCCACCATCCAAGAACAATTTGGATGGACACCTAAATGTCAGAATTGTTACCTTCATGAAAATGTACTGCAAATGGAATATAAATTGTTCAAACTGTAAAAAACTGTATTAAATTTGGCTACGGGAAGTAGTAGGAGGACGATTATCATGGTGGGATGCAGGGAGTATGATAGTTGATAGTACAATGTTTCATGACTACTAACAACATAATTGCCTATTTTTATACAGCTGGGATGCCGTCTTATTGAGTTATTAACAGAAATAGCTTATGTTCAATCTCCAGCTAGTCAGTCAGCTGACACTCCACCTGATATCCGACCAGCATTTCGACATATCTTCAAGATTGTAGCAATGGAATCAGGGTGAGATTGTATCCCATGTAACTATCATTCCTCCTAAAGAGAACTTTGCTTTTATGTCTGTTTGACAGTATGCTTGCTAGGGGTTAAATATTGTTTCACTGCTATATAGACGAATTCTTCCTGCAATTTTACATGTTACATGTGCTCAATTGCATCTTACTTTACTTTGAGTTAAAACGACAAGGATTAAGGGTCATAAAAAGAACCAAAATAATTGACTTTTTTATATTATTAAAATTTGCAGTCATGTCAGAAAGTGCGGAGTTATTGAATGCGATAAAATGATCCTCACTGGACTTGAAAGAACTGTAAGTTTGCCATTCAGTTTATGTCTTGCTTTTATTTCACACACATGGTGTATTTTTGTTGCACCGTTACGAGTTTTCTTCTTTTTCTTTTCTTTTATCTATTTAAGTTGGTGTTCATGATGGCTCCAATTTGTACAATCGCATGTAACTTGATTTCTTCTGAGTGTACACTAAAAAATGTGAATGCATTAGACCCTGAGGTGTACCCCCTTTCTGGTGACTACCAAAACTTGAGTGTGAAGGTGTTAATAAATGTATATGTTAATGGTGACACGGGTATTTGGGAGGTCACTGGTTTGAATGACATGCATTCTATTTCACACTATTTTAAGACATCATAAGCCCTTCTAATTTGATCTGTTTTTTCTTTTAGTTTTGTTGAAATCTGAGACCTTGTTGTCATAGAAATGAGGACCCAACAAAATTTCATGGTTCCCCTTCTTAATATAATCAACTAAAGCTCATTGCATAAAAAGCCACAATAAGAACTTCACTGCCAATCTTTTTTCTCTCCCCAATGATTCCTCAGCTTGCTGTACAAACCTGCAACAACAGGCACATTCAGGATTGGCCCTGGGAATCCACCTGCGATGTTGTAATCTGTTAGAGGAAGATAATTAGAAGAATTAATGTTATTAAAATTATGGGAATTGGCACTGATCACCATTTGGGGTGTTTTGTCTTAGTTACGACCTTATACTATCAACCTCATACTATCAAGAACCTATTTGCATGTGCTCTTTTTTTTCTACGACATATATTTAATCGTTATAATTTGCTGAATGCAGGCTCGACACATGATAATCCCTTACGTACCTATGTTGGTGCCTCCAAGAAAGTGGAAAGGGTACGGATTTGACTGAGTTGTGATGTTGATACACTTTCTGATTCTTGAGGTGGATAAAGTTCTGCTCCATCTCACTTGTGTCATATAGGACTCAATGATCGCATCAGTGGAAGAGTGATTTCATTCTTTTTCGTTTTCCATTTGTACTTGACACTCCTTCAGTCCACATTGGTTGGAACAATTGGACATCAATTTTGGGAAAATCTTCTAAAAATTAGACAAATTTATAAGACCAACAATCATCACCATCTTTTGGAGCAACTATTATTTTAAATCATCTTTACTATGTAAAGGGGTAAACTATTTGCATTCATCTCAAAGTTCTTGGGAGATAAAGGTCAGGCCTTGGGGCTCCTGCCCATAGGTCGCTAGTTCGACTGTTCGAGTCTCCTCACGAGGATTTTCTTGGCTGTTATCTTCGGGGCCTCATGGGATTAGTCGAGGTGTAGGTTGACTTATATTTACAAATATTACTATACTCCTTTCAGGTATGACTGTGGGGGGCACTTCTTTTTACCTTCATATCTCATGCGTACTCATGGATCAAGGCAGCAACAAGATGCTGTTAAGAATGCTCCAACTACGCAAATGCAGAAAATCTACGAGGTAGAAACTTCATTCAGTCTCTGTTGGATATACTTTGATTTCTAAAGAGTTATAAACAATTGTGTTTGTGATTGATTGTCAACAACTAAGTTTTGGAAGAAATTGCACATGAACAGGCATTGGATACACTTGGAAACACCAAATGGAGAGTGAATAAAAGACTACTTCATGTAGTTGAGAGCATCTGGGCTGCAGGTGGCGATATCGCTGGTCTTGTTAATCGTGAAGATGTGAGCATTTCAAGTTCTCGAATGATATTTCCCTGAAAGAATATTTTGAATAATCTTGGAAATTAATCCCATCCCATGAAACTTCCAACATTTCCTTTTTGGCATCTAGCTAGGAATTACTACCTCATTGTCCATCGTCATTACTACAGGTTCTTCATGATATTGCTTTTGATTAACAAGACTCTGTCATCATCTAAAGATTTTTAGACATGGATTAATAGTCAAACACTTCTATAAAACTATGTGTAGACTCTAGAGTTAGATGTTGTGATTTCCTGGGATGCAGGCAATGCGTGTTTATCCAAGAAATTGTACAAAAAGTTTAAAACCTTCAACAAAGTTTGGTGCTTTTATTAGGATTTTCCTGTTTCTATTATATTTATTCATTTAAAATTTGAGATCTGTTTTGTATATCACTGTAGGTTTCCATTCCTGATTTGAATTCCGAGGACTCAAGTGAAATAAGAGAATGGAGATGGAGTGTGCGAAAAGCAAAGAAAATGAACCAAGAACTACATTCTCAACGATGTGACATAGAACTAAAGCTTTCGGTAATTGTTCTATCCTGTTGCTATGTCTATTATATATATGTATATATATATATATATGTTGAGCAATAAAAGGTGTTTAATAGTTGAATCGAAAATAATGCAAAATTGCAACAGGTATTCTGTAACAGTTGGGGAATTGGTATAGGGTTCGTGTGAAATCATAGCATAGACTTGGATAAGAATCTAAGATTGCGTAGAAATCACTTTCCTCAAGTAATTTTCACTAAAATCACCAACATATTCTAATATTTGAATGAAGGTGATGGAAAATTAGCATGATCTAAATTTAAGGAGTTGAATCTGAAACAGGTAGCACGGAGGATGAAAGACGAGGAAGGATTCTACTATCCTCACAACCTTGACTTCCGTGGCCGTGCTTATCCTATGCACCCTCATTTAAATCATCTGAGTTCTGATCTATGTAGAGGAATTCTTGAGTTTGCTGAAGGGAGGCCATTAGGGAAGTCCGGGTTACGATGGTTGAGAATACATTTGGCAAATCTTTACGGTGCTGGAGTTGAGAAACTATCATACGATGGTCGACTAGAATTTGTGGAAAGTCATCTTAATGATATCATAGACTCGGCAGATAATCCTCTTGGTGGAAATCGATGGTGGCTAACAGCTGAGGACCCTTTTCAGTGTTTAGCAGCTTGTATCAATTTGTCAGAAACCCTTAAAAGCTCGTCACCTTGTACTGTCATTTCACATCTGCCAGTTCATCAGGTAATCCTTAATTTGCAATTGGAAACTTTGTACCTGCTTCTATGTGTATGTTATTGCTTACTCTTAATTTGTCTTTCAAAAATTATGATATCTCTGTTTCTCTATTTTCACAAGCCTGGAGCCTTCATGGAAACGGCCAATCTATTCTTTCCCGAACCCCATGTCCGGGTGGGGTGTAATAGACCGGTTTGGGGTAGGGTTTCGAGTCACGGGTTGAAACACGTTCAATTGTTTTATCAGTTGTTGTTTCTGTTACAGGATGGTTCATGCAATGGCCTGCAGCACTATGCTGCATTGGGAAGAGACACTGTATGTTCTGATTTTGGACTTGCTTTTTTCCCAATATTTGTTATTTTTTATTGGATCTTTTTGATGTGAATGTCTGTTTATCCAATGTTTCTGTATTTTTGCAGTTAGAAGCTGCTGCAGTGAACTTGGTTGCTGGAGAGAAACCGTCTGATGTTTACTCGGAGATTGCGGCAAGGTATAACTCGCAGAGATCGTTTTATATGTTTTCTTGACCTTTGAGCTCATAAATGCCTATCTTTGACTTCAAATATGATGAGAACACAACGAGAAGCCTTAGATTTAATATCAAAAGTCAACTCTTCTTTGAAGCATTCGATTTTCACCAAAATCTTTTTTTTCCCGGTTTGCCCAGGGTTCATGACATCATGCAAAGGGACAGTGAAAAGGATTCAACAAGTTACCCTAACGCTTTGCTAGCCAAAATCCTAATAGGCCAGGTTCGTTTTATTTGTTTACAGTCTTCTTTTGTGGAAGTTTTGGTATGGGTGCTTGACATTTTTTACTTATTTTTTATAGCACATATTAAAGAAACTTCAGCTGTCAATTTGGATATAGATATAATCTCTTTCTCCTTAGAAGTAAAAAATGCATCTTTAGTCTAAAATAGAGAGGCATACTGGGTCGGTTTCGTTTATTGTCGGTAACTGACAGTTTACATATTGGAAACATTTAGGTGAATCGAAAGCTAGTGAAACAAACCGTAATGACTTCAGTTTACGGCGTTACATTCATTGGGGCACGAGAACAAATCAAAAGAAGATTACTGGAGAAGGGTCATATTACTGATGATCAACTGCTGTTTAGTGCATCTTGTTATGCTGCTAGAGTGAGTATATATTGCTAATCGAGCACATTATATGGACACATGTGTGTATTAAGTTTAAGATGCTTATGCCTATGATTTTTAAGGACATAAACGTGAGGTCTGCTTTAAAATGTTTTACTGTTCTATAACCTGCAAGTTATTCCGTAGGTCACATTGGAAGCCCTCGGGGAGATATTTGAAGCTGCACGTGGTACCATGTGTTGGCTTGGTGATTGTGCAAAGGTATTTTTCTGGATTGCATCACAGTTTTAAATGCAATCTCGATTGAATCTTGTTAACAATTGGGAATTCCACAGGTGATTGCTTCAGAAAATCAGCCTGTGCGGTGGACAACCCCTCTAGGCCTTCCGGTCGTGCAACCCTATTTCAAAACCAAACGTCATATCGTAAGTAACTTTGGAGTTAAATTTGTTTTTGGTTGTTCTATTTGAATTCGAAATCTGTTGACTTTGAAAGTCAAAGGGTACATCGTTTCCCCTAGAATGGAGTGACTATTTGTTTCAAGTGTTTTTGTTGCCACTTTCTGAACGGATCTGAACTTCCGTGACTATTATTGTCAACGGGTTGCAGATAAAAACGTCTCTTCAGGTCTTGGCCTTGCAACGGGAGGGTAGCACGGTAATTTACCATCACCTATCACGTTTAATTACTTATTTTCTCTTCAATCATCATGTACAAGTGATAAGATTTTCATCACCAAATTCTTATAGGTCGAGGTTAAAAAGCAGAGGACGGCATTTCCTCCAAACTTTGTGCACTCACTTGATGGTACACACATGATGATGACCGCCATTGCTTGCAGGGATGCTGGATTGCGTTTTGCAGGTACGCTTTACCAGAGACTAGGTGGCAAGAAAATTAGTCCATTTATCTAGAAATAGGTGCTCAAGGTCCATATATTGTTTTTTCTAAAATAAATAGTGTTTCTTTAGAATAGAAACAATCTAACATTGCATACTCTTGAACATTCAAAAGCAACAACTTTCCGTTTTGAAGGATTTTGGCGGCCATCGTAGTGAATTTAGCATATTTTATGTTCCACTGGGAGCCAGTTTTTGATGCACAAGTACCTATTGAACTTTGCATTTATACGAATCCGACAATTTTTCTTCAGGTTTGTTTTTCTTATTTTAAGATTAGAAACAAGCTTAATGTTGTTGCAATATTTATATCTGACAGGGGTTCATGATTCCTTCTGGACACATGCATGTGATATCGACAAAATGAACCAAATACTGCGAGAAAAATTTGTAGAGCTCTATAGCATCCCGATCCTTGAAAAAGTAAGCCATCTTGATCACACTACTTTTTTAATGCTAGATGTGAGCTTTCGACATCTTAGAACCAAATTCTTCATATGTATGAAAGACTTCAAGCTTAGCAGATAGAGGTATGTACCTTCCTCCGTCCCTAATTAAATGTGGTCTTTCCCCTTTCGGCGAAGGTTCAATCCAAATAACCTTTTTGCCCGTTGGTCTATAAGATTCGCACATTTTGTCATTATTGAAGGGTATTTTAGATGTCTTCATGGAACAAAAAAAGACCCTACCTTTGTGTGGGATAGATTTGAGTTTGTGTAGTTTTATTCACTGAGGGGCATTTTAGATATTTGACTAATAGTCGTTTGTGTTGCTTAATCTTGGCAGCTGCTTGAAAGCTTTCAAACAACGTATCCAGGGCTCGAGTTCCCTCCCCTACCAAAGAGAGGCGACTTTGACCTGAACGAAGTTCTGAAATCGCCTTACTTTTTCAACTAAACGCTCAGAGTCTATGCCGTTTTTTTACAAGGCAGCCAGCCCAGAAGCATCAAAATGTGGACCAGCAGTTATTATGTCTAAAGAATCTGAGATCCTAAGATGGTCAAAGATATTGATACGCGGGATACAAGGTACAGAATGTGAGGATTTTTGGTAGCAGCAGTGTGTTTAAAGGGAGCAGGCTTGGAATTTATAGCGAAAAACATGTACATTTTTTTTTGGCAAAAGTGGAGGGGAGTTCTTGTGGTATAGTTGATCATAACTGAAGTCGGGTGCAGTCAACGGTTGAAATGGCGATATCATGAGATTCAAGTAGGTTCGCCGAAGACATTCGTGGCGGTTGAGCCTAGTGCACCGGTGGGTTCGTTAGGTTTGTTTTTACGTAAATGTAGTATTAATAATGTATAATATTTGGAGGAAATTAAATGGATTCAATCAAATTTTTTTTTTACTGTATATGCTAGTGAAAGATCAAATTATATATAATATGGACCATGGTGACTCAATAAATCGCCAATTCAATCTTAGCCATTTAAATTAACCTTGAGGTTAGACGTAAACTCTTTATTTTGAACTTACATATTAATTAAGTATATTGTCACACCAAATCATTTTTAATTTTTAATTTTAAAGTTACACTTTATACACTTATAATTAATTACATGATTTATTTTATATTCCTTACTTTTTTTTTTTCATTTTATATTTTTATTGTATTAACATACGTAATCATATATTAATTGAAATACATTAAAAAATACGTTTCTTTTTCTATAAATTATACCATTATAATTTTCTAATCAATACTTTTAAAATGAGCATAATATTGAATAACATAATGGATTATTTTTAGAACTTATTTTTAATATCTTAATTTTTCATTTTTGATTTTTCATTTTGCACCCCTTATTTATACTATCTACACCTACTTAAATTGTTTAGTTTACGGTTATCTATAGTATAGCATCGTATCCTACATTCTCTCCCGACTCTCCTGTCTCCCCTCCCACGGCCACTCCTCTCATCTCCTCTCCATTTGTCTATTTCTCCTATTATTTATACCCTCCATCTATATTTAGCATTAATTCAAATATGAAATATTCATATGGAATGACCGACTCCCGACTCCTCTCGATTTAAAATCCAAATATCCATCTCTTTTGGCATGAATTCCAAACTGGAGAGGTTCCTCACTACGTACATAAATGATTTTGTTAATCTCTACCGAGTAAATAATTTAATTATTCTAGGGTATTTTTGTTACACGTGTTGGGATTTGTTGGTTGCATGGCATGTACCCAAGAATTGTTGTTCTATATTCTTGAATAGGTTGTTGGTTCATTACATAAATCTGGTCAAAATGTGTTTTTGGTTGATGTGTGCCTTAGAGAGTTACTTTAGCTTTTCTTTTCTTCTTTATTCAACTTGATCGGTTCTAATATTTTGACTGATTTCATCAATGAGTTTTACACCAAATTTTTTGAAGTAGTAAAAGTGGCGTTGAAGATGGAAGTTGAAAGAAACTCTTTTTTTCATTGTATTCATAATATATGACTTGTCACAAACACACAAATTCTTCAACTTTGAACACCTCAATTGTAAAAGCTCGATATATATATCCTAGAAAAACATTTGTTTCGGGGACGTTTAGAATATGTTTAAAGTCATGTCATGTATCCAACCAACGGACACTAGTCAACTTTGGTGGGTGGTGTGCATGCTGATCATTAGAGATGGCCAAATTGGTTAACTGGTCTGTTCTGTTCTATCTAGATGAGAAAAATCATTTCGATTGGGACTGGTCTCGGCCTAGACCACATGGACCGCTCGTAACCAATTGGACTGGTCCCATAACAAAGGGTTGGGTTTCAGTGAGGATGAAAATTAAGGTGAGAAGGACAAATCCTTGGATGCACATTATGATCAAATGCACCAGATCAATCCCAATATCAAGCACGATTAATCAGTAGGTTTGAGATTAAAGATGATCAAAGGTCCAAATCCCTTCTTACATGGTCCTTAGCCACTAACCCTAACAGGTTCGTTTTTGTTGATAGATTAGCACTTCTTTATACTATATAGAAACTGTTTTTTAACGTTGTTAATAAATATGCTGGAGCATAAAATATTATTTACCCATTCAAATAGTATTTTATTTTTTAATACAAATACAAGAATAAATTATAATTTTTATCCATATGGTTTACTTAAAATTGCAATTAAATTATGATTTTTTTCTCTGTGGTCTAATTAAAATTGCAACTTTTGAAATTACAGGTATTGTTCTTATGGTTTGTAATTCGATTATACTTTTAGATGAGATAATTTATTACAATTAAATACGAGAAATGAAAATAACAATAAATTATAAATGATATGGACGAAAAAGTCAACGAATTGTAAACCACATAGACTATAACTGTAACTTTAAAAACATAGGGACGAAAATAATAGTTTTTAACAAACTATTAAAAAAATTCCTCATCTTCAAAACTCTTAGGGGATGTTTGGTTCACACAATGAAATTTGATGGAATTGGAATCCATCAAAGCGATTTGACTTTGAAGCAATTGGAATGAAATTTGACCATACGTTTGGTTAGTGAGAATTGGAATGAAATCTCTCAAAAGAATTGGAATAATCGTCTTTGTTTGGACTATCCCACCCATCGCCCCGCCCACACCCTACCAACCACCATATCACTACTGTCATCGTCACAACTATCATCCCGCTCTACCCCACCCTACCCAAACGCTGCCCACCACTCCTGCCCCACCCCTGTTCCATAGGTGGGGGTTGTTGGGGGCATGCAAGGTGGGGCCAAAATGGGGCAATGGGTGGCAGGATGGTAGCTGTGACGACTACAGTGGTAGGCTGGTGGTTAATGGTGGGTTGGAGTAGGGTAAGATGGGGTGGGTAGGGGTAGGTGGCGGGGTGGCAGCTGTGACGATGATAATGGTGGAATAGTGGTCCGGTGGTTGGGGCCTGGGAGTGGGTGGGTATGATCAAGAATAGTGGCATGGTGTTTAGTGGTAGGGTAGGGTAGGGTAGGGTGGGGTGGGGTGCGGGTGACTGGCGGTTGTGAAGACGACAATAGTAGTGTGGGGGTGGGGGGTATAACACCCTAAAAAAAGATAGTCTAAACCGAAAATATCTAACGAGAAACAGAATCTTAGATAAAAAAAATATATTCACCCAACAAAAGTAATAGTATAGCGTTTACAATTCCGCTACTGAGAAGGTAAATAACAACCTACTAATCTAGATTTTTTTTCTAGATTAAAGACGGGTATTTCTATCAATCTGCAAAAATCCATAACATCAAAAACGCAACATTCAAAAGTAACAAGGCTATATTTACAGAAAGGCCTTTCACGAACCATCGCTCCTCTTAACCCTTTAGAGCCCCTCCGTTAAAGGAACCTAAAAAGTAATTATAACAAGAAAGAGAGAGGGTTAGGCTTACGCCTAGTGAGTCCAAATAAGAGAGTTTACATAAACATAAAGAAACATACATAAAAATATACATGTATTTGTTGATATGACTTTAAACAGGAATAGGGCCAGCAAGACCTGAATAACACGAAGTGGAATAATAAAACATCCGAAGATGATGGGGGAGACCCGATTTACCGTTGGTTATGACGGACACGAAGTAAGTCATAAATCACGTTACAGAGCATCACTTACAGGTTCAACACCATCGACATCAACCTAGCCAGTCATGTAGTCAGTCGTGATCATAAGCTCTTTACCTCGGTAATTACATAATAATCACAATGCCTATTACCGAGTGAAAGTGAGAGGATGATTTGGTGATTACATAATAATCACAATGTCTATCACCAATTTACACCATCATACCCACGAATAAAATAAAACGATATACATGCACTGATAATTACATAATAATCACAATGCCTATTACCGAGTGCAAGTGAGAGGATGATTTGGTGATTACATAATAATCACAATGCCTATCACCAACTTATACCATCCTTCACACAAACATAATAAAACCATTTCTATGTCTACAAAACCTTTCCAATTCTAGCGGCATATTTAGATACGTTAACATATGTATACGACCACTTGTACATTACTCAAATATTCGCATGAGTCTTTAAACGAAAGCAACATTCTCATTTTACCAAATATCAATTCCAAACGTGGAACATGAGGGTTTATAGGGCTTTATCCCAAACTTACTTTGACACAAGTATTTCACCAAGCAAGTAATCACCTATAAATAAAGTGTAAGAAAAGCATAACCCTCAATTTCAAATTGTATAGAGCTTCTAAAAGAGAGGGAGGTTGGATGAACTCACAGTGCTTTTCGATACTCAAAAATCGAGCCAACTTAGGCTCTACGTCCATATATGTCTAAACATCGACCAACGGTCACTCTAGAAGGACCAAGTGAGCTTATTTAACACTTGTAATATGTACCCAAAGTTTCATAAAGATCCGACGACAAAAACTTAACCAAACTTAATTTAAACTCATTTTAGGAACTATAATTGACAGCTCAAAATTAATTTTTTATCAGTTTTGAGACGCAAATATAACCAACCTAGAACTCTTATTTCTAAAACGTGTCTAAATGGCAGATTTAGATCTACATATGAGCTTTCTAAAATGTCCAGAATCGTAGCAATCCGAGCTACGGTTAGAAAGTTTTCGCACATTCAAAACAGCATCTCGGGTAGATTTGGTGCTGTCAAATTCACCAACTAAATGGGCTAAAATCCATATTTTGGATTCAATCTTTATTCCAACAATCAAAATACCATCTAACCATRTTTATATTATTGATTACAAGGTCAACACTCAAGAATTTCACTAAAATAGCCATTAATGAAGAAAATCAACGGAATGATCATTTCCCATGCAAAAAGGAATCCTCGAGCCACTTAGTGAAAGGTTTTTATAATTCAACGTCTAACAATGCTTAGAGAAATAGTTATTCTACCTAGAGTGATCAAAACTATCTACCCAATCCAATTTTCCTCAATAATGGGCTCATCCGAGTTCATCTCTTTCGACTAAAATATGATTCATCTAAAATAGTTATTTTTATCTAGGCTATAAGACTTGAGCATAAAACACAATATTAATATAAGTATAATGATTTTAACGGTAAAAGTGGACTCACAGCGAAGAGTTAGAGGCTGTCCAAAACTCAAACTAGGAGATGGGTTAAGGCAGGACCAAACAGCTTGGTCACAGCAGCGCAGAAAGAGGCACGACAACAGCCGTGTGTAGGGCTCGGGAATAGCTTGCGCGCACAAGATGAGGAACCAGCCCCTGCTGGGCCTTCGGGATCAACAGCGCCAAGCAGCAAGTGAAGAAACAGCCCCTGCAGGGCTTTCGGGATCAACCAGCAGCGAGCAGCAAGCGAAGAAACAGCCTACGAGCAGAATCGAACGGAGAAACAGCAGCAAACGAGCTCGGTGAAGGCACAGCAGCGTACAGGAGCACGAAAACAGCCCCTGTGCCGTGTCTCCGGGAACAGCCCGCGTGCAGGTCGGACGAAGAAACAGCAGCTGCATGAAGAGCTGTGCAGGCACAGCAGCGTGCAGGTCGAAAGAAAAAACAGCAGCTGCGCGAAGAGCTGTGCAGGCACAACAGCGTGCAGGTCGAGGCCGGAGGTGGGTGTTGGCGTCGGAAGTTGCAGGCGGGATCTAAGAAGGGGTTAAGTTTCATACATAAGGGAATGATCCTTCTCCCTTTGCCCACTACCCAAGCTTCTTCTCTTGAACTCTTTTCTCTCCAAAATTCTTCAAATTTCACCTCTCAAGCAAAAGGGCTTCCCCCCCCCCCTCTACTGTAAAGACAGCCAGCTAGAAAGTAGCAAAGCGTAGGTCCTTCACAAGAGGGAAAGTCCACAGGTAAGAGTCTAAATACAAGGGGTAACACCCCCCCCCCCATTAGTCCTACTTTTGCCCCTAGTTCTAAAGTTACCACTAGGTAAATCATCAAGAAGATCTCCACTCTTTTGAATGATCAAACAAAATAAAAAAATACTAAATCCCCATAATTTAATACACTTAAATACATATACATACAAATATATAAAAAAAAGGAAAGGAGACTGAGGGAGGGGAGAAATTCGAGGGTGTTACAGCTTTACACCCCCTAGCTCCTCAGTGCCCTCTGAAAAGGACACTGCTGTACATACGGGGATCCCACATGACTCCACCTTGGCATCTCTACATGACCTTGGTGATGACTCGGATACCTCCCCTTTCCGAGGTCCCTCCTCTCCTCCACTTATTCACGGCCTATCACCTGAGATTGATGATCTTGATGATATTACACGAATGGATGATATATCAGCTTTGTCTGNATCCCCATAATTTAATACACTTAAATACATATACATACAAATATATAAAAAAGGAAAGGAGACTGAGGGAGGGGAGAAATTCGAGGGTGTTACAGGGGGTGGGGGGAGGGGCGGGGCGGTGGAGATGGGTGACGGGGTGGTAGTTGCGACAACGACAGGGGTGGGATGGTGGTCGGATGGCTGGGAGTGAGTGGGTATGACAACGACAACAGTGTCATGGTGGTTAGTGGTGGGGTGGGAATGAGCGGCAATTGTGACGACAACAATAACGTTGTGGTGGTGGAGGTTAGGTTAGGAGCGTGACAATAACAATAATAGCATCGTCGTAGTAGGAATATACACATTTTTTTATGTTTATTAGAAAGTGTGAAAGGGTTAGCTTTAAAGATCTATGTAGGTAGGAAACTTCTATACCATGCTTAATAGTCGATAGAACCTTTAATAGTTAATTTCACAAATTCTTATTTGATGTATGATGTTTACAATATGCTTCTATAATATTAATAGTATTTACATTTGTGTCAATCGAGTTAGAATAAAACCTTTGTCACATAAATTTATATGCTCACATTTCTTATACTATCGATTTGTTCAGGTTGATAAATTGTCGTTTTGTTTGAGGTTTGTTTCGGAGACGTTTAGAATCTGTTTAAAGTCATATCGTGTATCCAACCAACAGAAGGGTATAATACTAGTTAACATTGGTGGGTAGTGTGATATGTAAAGTTTGCATGCTAAATTAGAGACGGCCAAATTGGTTAACTGGCCTGTCTGTCTAGATGAGAAAAATCTTGGTCGGATTCGGACTGGTCTCGATCTAGACCACATGGACCGCTTGTAACCAATTGGACTGGTCCCATAACAAAGGGTTGAGTTCTAATGAGAAAGAAAGTTGAGGTGAGAAGCGTAAGAACGAATCTCCACCCTAGGATGCACATTAGGATCAAATGCACCGAGATTCACCGGATCAATCCCAATATCAAACGTGATTAATTAGTGGGTTTGAGATTAAAGGTGATCAAGGGTCGATGTCTTTTCTTACTTTTCTCATCTTAACTCTTCTTTTTACACGGTGCTTAGCCACTAACGTTTTTGTTGATATATTAACACTTTTTTATACTATATAGAAACTATTTTTTAATGTTGTTAATAAATATGCTGGAGCATAAAATATTATTTACCCATTCAAATAATATATATATATATATATATATATATTTTAATATAAATACAAGAATTAATTATGATTTTTATCCATGGGGTTTAATTAAAATTGCAACTAAGTTATGATTTTCTTCTCCGTCGTCTCATTAAAATTGCAACTTTTGAAAATTACGGGTATTGTTCCTATGGTTTGTAATTCGATTATACTTTTACATGAGGCAATTACAATTAATTTTGAGAAATGAAAATAACAATAAATTATAAATTATATGGACGAAAAAGACAACAAATTGTAAACCACATAGACTATAAATGTAACTTTACAAACATAGGGACGAAAATAATAGTTTTTAACAAACTACTAAAAAAATCCTCATCTCCAAAACTCTTTAGGGGTGTTCGGTTCACATAATAGAATTTGATGGAATTGGATCCATCAAAGCAATTTGACTTTGAAGAAATTGGAATGAAATTTGATGGAACTTGACCTTGCGTTTGGTAGGTAGGAATTGGAATAAAATATCTCAAAAGAATTGGAACAATTTTCTTTGTTTGGACGATCCCACCCATCGCCCTGCCAACATCCTACCAACCACCATGTCATTATTATCGTCGTCACAACTATCACCCTGATCCGCCCCACCCTACCCAAACCCTGCCCCACCACTCTCGCCCCACCCCTGCTCCATAGGTGGGGGCTATTGGGGGCATGCAAGGTGGGGAAGAATGGGGCAATGGGTGGCAGGGTGGTAGCTATGACGACTACAGTGGTAGGATGGTGGTTAGTGGTGAGTTGGAGTAGGGTAAGATAGGGTAGGGGTGGGAGCGGGACAGGACGATAGGGTGGGTAGGGGTAAGTGGCGGGGTGGTAGCTGTGACGATGATAGTGGTGGGTGGGTATGACGACAATAATAGTGGCATGGTATTTAGTGGTGGGTTGCGGTAGGGTGGGGTGCGGGTGAGTGGCGGTTGTGAAGACGACAATAGTGGTGTGGGAGTAGGGGCGGGTTTGGGGCGGTGATACAGGATGGTAGCTGTGACAACGACAGTGGTGGGATGGTGGTCGGGTGGCTGGGAGTGGGTGGGTATGACGACGACAGTAGTGGCATGGTGGTTAGTGGTGGGTTGGGGTGGGGGGGAGTGGTGGTGAGTGGCAATTATGACGACGACAATAATGGTGTGATGGTGGGGGTTAGGTTAGGGGCGTGACAGTAATAATAGTAGTATGGTCGTAGTAGGGATATGCAGTGAGTGAACAGGGGGTGGGTGGGTGTGATGAACAGTAGTGTCATGGTGGTTAGTGGTGGGGTAGGGTGGGTGGATGGCGGCGACAATAGTGGTCTGGTGGTGGTAAGGGGTTAGAGGTGGGGCAATGACGAATAAAAGTAGCATGGTCGTGGTGGATGGTAATGGAATTCAATTCCTTCAATTTATGTCAAGAAATGATGAATTCATTAATTTATGGAATTCAATTGAATTTGAAGGATTCCATCCATTTCAAAAAATAAACCAAACAAAAGAATTGGAATTTTGTCAAAGGAATTTATCATTCCAATTGCATCAAATTTCTTCGAATTCCACGAACCAAAAGCCCTTAGAAATTGTTTAAGAAACCGTAAATACTCAACTTATTAAGTACATAGAAATTAAAGATGAAAATGTTTAGAACACATAAATTCGTTGTATATAAATTCGTTGTGTTTCAGTTGGTAATTTAGAACACGAAATAACGTCGGATCGAATAAATTTATACATATAATGAAACAGATAAATTATGATGGATTGCTGGCTGGCTGCTGGTTCCCAAATTTCATGGATGAAACATAATATACAGAGTTGTTTACATGATGAGATGAGATGAGAGAGGGAAGAGTTAATAATATATACAACTGAAACAGGTTATGATGGATCATCAAACTGTACATGAAATGAAACTCAAATCAAATTCAATCAACAAACTTTTCCTTCCCATTTTTCCAATTAAAAATGTCAAATATTTACACTTGCCTTTTTCATTCTTCCATCATATCTTAACAAACCAGTCAGTATTCATGAGATCAGGAAGCAGCAGCAGTCGGCGAATGAATGGTCGTATCGGGTAATATGGCTACTGTCACCACGAAATACTCGCAGCCAACAGCTAAACCATACGGGTTCACACCAGTCCCTCCTGAATTCAAGGCAAACTGGCTCGACCCCACATCTACACGGTTGTTACGAACCGCAGACGATTTCACCGTTTGTCTCTCGATATGCACAATCTGGCCCACGATGTACGTGGGGCGGTGTGGAAGATGGTCGGCAAATAAGGCCACCGACTCTGAAGAAAGATAGTAATGAGTGCAGTTTCGGTTGATGGCTTCATAGTGTCCGGCTACGTTAAGTACAAATGCAGCAATCTCGTGAAGCTCCAAACGACCAAACGATATCTTCTCCTTGTTCACCTGCTCGAAGATAAACAATCAAAAACAACATTTGTTTAATAACAGCCAGGAAAATCCCCAGTGACCCTAAAGATAACAAATTTGGAAAATATCGGGATAGTCCGTGAAGACCACCGGAATGAGTAAAACGCCATTTTTTGATAATCAAAATCATTAATAGCTAGCAATATGTAATTTTGCTAAAAGTTAAAACCTGTTTTTCGGATTGAAGCTTCATGTACAAAGTGTTGACCAATTCTTTCTTTTCATCCAACTCCTTTGTAAGTTGCTCGTGTAACGCCTCTGCCTTTGTGTACCTATCGTTCAGCTCGGATCGGTACCTCGTCAAAACACCGACTTTCTCTGCAAGCACCCGAACGCATTCACGGAACTCAGAAGTACCATCATCCCCGTTCTCATTTGCAGAACTAAAAAGTAAAACAACATACAACTCAAAATTTACTAAAGATGTGCATAAGAATTCATATAAAGATGGCAAGCAATCATTCCACAGGTGTTCATACAAGAATATGCGGATTAGAAGATTAAGTCACAATCACGTAAGCGTAACTTTAAGACACTAGAATACACGGAGATTGAGAACTTATTACTTACTTGGCGAGAGATTGAGCTAAAGCACGCAAAGACTCAGCTAAACCAGTTACACCACCTGCTAAAACACAGGTTTTTAGCCGTTCGAAAAGGCTGCGTACTTTAACAGCAGAGGCACGCAATGCACTATATTCAGAAGCCCTACGATCAGCCGCACAAAGATGGGTTTGTGCCTCTTCTCTTGCTTCGTGCAGACAATTCTCTAAGTGAGCACAATTCATCTGTAAGAAAAAGATGAGATTAATATACGGTAAACCAATAAACAACATATTAGAAACAACCTCTCTACCTCTTGACAAAGAGGAAAAGTCTGCATACATCTTACCCCATAGGCCCTACTTCCAGGTGGGATATAATGGGTTTGTTTAGTTTGGTTAAGTTCCGACAAACAACATACCTCTTGGCTCAACTGGGGCCCACCAATATAGTTGACAAGCTATGCTAGCTACAAACTCCCGAAAAGGGTGAAATGGGACAAGTTGGCTTTGCTCGATTGGGGCCCACTAATATTTTTGACAAGCCCATTCATATTACCTACACCCCCAGCCTCAATTTTGCATTACTACTACAATAATCTTGTGTACATGTTTTTTAGTAGCCCAACACTAAACCAAGCCAAACGAGCCCAGTATATCCCATCTGGAGGTCGGAGTCGACACTCTTGAGGGTAAATCAAAGTGCCTTTTCCTGTGCTACAGAACTTGCCACTTCCAAAACTTGTTGCCATTTCAACCACCTTATTATAAATTCTTATCCTATCAATCTCTCATCCTTTCTGTATAACTCATCCCAAATAGCAAAATATAACATTCCTCTACCTTAACATCCTCACAGCATTTTGTTCTAATTTGTTTTAGTCATTGCTCCCTTCGTACCAAAATAAATGTCCACTGTGAAAAACACATGCGGTTTTAGAAATATATGATTCTTACACTTTCTAATTAACTAAACGACAATTTTACGCTTAATAAATAGAGGGTGTAATGAATTTCTCCATCTCATAATTAAGGATAGAATTGAAAAGTACATGCTTTTGAAAGTGGACATTTTTTTGGGACAAAAAGATGGGATATAAGCTTCTATGAAACAAATATGGGAAGGACCCGACATATGTTGCAAGATAGAAGTGCAAAGATACCGGTGAGGGACATGTAAATACCAAGGTTCCGAGGTTCTAACTGTGGATTCATGGTTCACTTATTTATATTTGTGCATATATATATATACATATATACAAGTCTAAAACAAAACAAGTAAGAAGTTTCTACTTTTGATTGGTGTGCTCATATTAGTCCAATCACGGGAAAAAAGACTGCATCGCCTAGCCTTTTTCTTGCTCTCTTTGCACCATAATACTCAAGTTTACACCTTAATTTTTTTACAACCATAACTTTCATATCTCCGTTTTTCTCAAATCTCAATTTTGTTTCTCCATCTAGTCATGGTCAATAATTCAAGGAGATAAAAGCACCAATGCTTCCTACGGAACTAGCCATATGCCCAAGTATGAAGTTAAGATTACAGAAATGCAAAACACGGAAAGAAATTTATGTTTTATTGACATTACCTGAGATTCATCTAGAAGATTCCGACTGATTTCCAACTCACTACCCAGCCTTGTAACCTCCTCCACTGCAGCTTGGAGCTTTGTTTCTATTTCATTTAGTTGATTCGACTTCTCTGTAAGCAAGTTCTGCAACTCAACCACAAGATCATCACTAGCTTTCACCTGTTCATCAGAAGGTAAAGTTTTCAAAGGCTGCGGCATGTAATCAGCAGTTGAACTTGTTGCCAATGCCATGCCAACATCCGCCACCATCGTCTCCTTGTCATCTTTTTCATTAAAATGAGATTCATCGCGGTTCGGTTCCAGCATCGACGAGTCCAAATGAGGGTTCATCGTTCCAGAGGAATCAATACCTCCTGATTTCAAAAGTAACGAACTAGAAGCATAAGAAGCCTCGTCCATAGGCTCAGAAGATGCACAACGCATATGGGTTTCTCCATCCCCTGAGATTTCCGATTTGCTATCGCCAATTTTCCCAGTTGACTCATCTTTATTAAGTTTGTGTTCTAAGGAATACTGATCCGATAGCCTCTGTTCAAGCTCTTTTATTCGTTTCTCATACGATTCACATTGCAAATGCTTGACTTTTAGCATAGATAGCAGATGTTTCTCGTGTTCATCTTTCAAACGCAAGGCCTCCGCAGTCTTTTCAGCAGCGTTTTTTAGCATATTTCCCACTTTACTATCGTCCAAAGATTCAAATTCAACTTCTGGTGAGAAAGAACAAAGAAGAGCTATTGTGGATGCAAGTTCAGCTTTTAGTTTAGCATTCTCAACTTCCATCTTGCTAGTTCCGGCTATTTCCACTAGTTCAGAAGCCTCAACAAAATCATTATACTTTTCAGTACCACATTCAGAACTTTCATCAACTTCATGTGAATGGGAGCTCTCTTGAGACATTGAAGATGAACCCTTCTTGAAAGAAAGTCCTACTAAATGCTCAGGGGCAAAACGGTCCAAATCTGATATGTCAATATCGAGTAAATTAGTATCAAATGGAGCTACATTCACGTCACAAGTGTTAGGAGTATCATACAAGCCCATCGATGCTAGAATGTCTCTAGGTATATACAAACTGTGTACTTTCAGAAACTCTTCTCGTCTCCTTACTTCCGTTTCCCTCTTAGATGCAAGTCTTTCGGCCAACTGTCCAGCCATTCCCATATAAAGTTTCATTGACGCCTTTCTTCTCACTATCTCCGCAAGACATGCTCTGTAGGCAGGACCGATACCACGAACAACCTTCAAATGCTCAAATTGGTCGTTTTGGCGCTTTAGTGCCTCAGTGAAAACCGAAAACTTATACCTTACCTCTTTGATGGTGTACTGAATATATGCAATCTTTTGCATGTATCTATGGACGAATGTGTTCATTTCGGATTTCTTATTTTTGCAGAACACCAGGAGGTTGGAAATAGCCCGCTCACAAGCCTGCATCTTGGGAAGATAGCTTTTGTCATGGCCCTCGTACATGGGACCTAATGCTGAAACAGCATCGTGAGGTCGCAGCGAACTAGAGAGTTGACTGGTCAAGCAATCGTCCACGAGTTTCTTCACCAAGCCAACATCCTTGCTGCATTGATGAATGCTTAAAGTCAATTACAACAACATCCATCTGAAGTTCATGTTAAAATTGTTGTTTATTTAATTCAAGTGAACCAAGAAAACAAAATACTTGGAAGAAACTAGTACCATATAATCCAGGAATCATCATTTGTGAAAAAAAAAACCCAACTTTATTTGGTTATGAAAATTGCAACAATTGACGGCTCACAATCTAATCGAATCCGTTGACTGCCCTCCAATAATGACAAAAATAAGGCAAACTTTTGAACCAAAAGCAACAGGTCAGTAAAAAGTAGTGGGCAAATAGGTTATTCTAACTTCAAAATCTTCCACAATGGTAAAAATTGCTAACTTTCATGTTAAACCAAACCAGCTTAATATATCCAACTCGACCATCGGGTGAGTGGGATATATGCAGATCTGACCTCTACTCCAGAAAGTAGAACAACTTTCATGTGACCCCAAAATGGAAATTAGCAATTTGCTGAGATAAACATTTATATAATATATGAAATGTAAAAGACACGAGTAACAAATAGTTGAGATGACAGATGGGATAGGAAATTGTATGCCATCCATTCCAATGAAAAGGACAAGAGTAGACACACACATACAGACTTCTCATGCAACAATGAATGGTGCTCAAGTAAAATGCCTCTTAATGCGTAAAAGATAGCACTTAGATCCCACTACAGGTTCTTCTAGGTAGAGTGGCCGCTTCCTTAAACACCATTCTATAAAAAAAAGGTATGACGCTGGATGTAAATCACATGTCCCAAGGTCAGGTGGATGGTGCCTGAACCCTAGACCTCTTACTCATTCTACAAGGATAGCCACCTCCTTATCTGCTAGGCTGAAGCCAGGGGACTTCCTTAAAAACTATTCATCGTGTGATAGATTCCTCATAAAAAATTCCCAACATAAGTACGCAACCACCCACATACAATTGGAAATGTTATTGCTTCTAGCATCCACCAATACTAAGACCTTGGTTGTGTATTTGAAATTTGCCAATACATAATGGCCTGCAAAATTTGATGCTTGGGAAATGCTCTTACTTCTCGTTAATGTTTTATGGTTAGGAAATATAACCAATCAAATGTTACATCATAACCACTTGTGTCAAGACAACTTCAAAACAAGAGCTAAGTGGCTTAATACGAAGGAAGTGATTGCAAACGTTAGCCAATGAGATTCTCTATCAAGATATTCACAAAATATAAAGCTAAACAAAACCAGCATAGCCCACTCGAAATCTCCTCTACCCGGAAGCGGAAGGGTAGAAAGATAGGTCCTTAGTATTTCCTTTTAGAGTTACGGTATATCACAACTGCTTGTGGTATGCACCTCTCTTTCTTTTTCCAGGTGTGCTCTCAAACCCACTAAACATGGATCATTTTACATATCCTAAAGTCTGCACACCAAAGCTCTTCCTTAATAAGAAAAACTTTAACTGTCCAAGAAAAAAGCTACAACTTTATTTTACTAACAGTGACAGACAGTAATAATGCAAGCCCATATGATCATATATATAAATATAGTTGCAACAAAAAAATTGGCCTTAACATTTGATTAATGTAGGATAACGGAAAAGAAATTAATTCTAAAACAGGCTGCAGGTTTTGATGAGGATTACGAACCTCAAAGCTTGCATTATACTTTTCTGCTCGTTAATATGGTGCTGATGCTCCTTAACCGTTCTCTCCAAATCTCTATTGAGGATTGAAGCTTTACTAGAAAACAAATGCTCAGTGCTTCTCTTTAGTTCTCCAAATTCCTGCTTAAACTCTCCAACTTTATTTTCAAACTGCCTGTGAGAACTGCTACAGTCATCCACCATTTTTCTTAAGTTATCTTCCTTCACGAAATCCAATAAGCATTTCCGATCAGCAGTTTGTAACACAGGGAGAAGTTTGATGGATCTGAGTCTCTCTAAATCCCTCCCGAAATGCACTAAAAGATTTGAATGTGTCCTCTGCTGCTGTGAATAACACTTGACGAAATCCATGTAGTTCTGGAGGATCATCTTGTAGAAATGGTCCAAATTACCCCTAGCAATCTCCAATGCCTTTTCTTGCACCCTTTGTTCTCTTGCAAGCCTCTCACAGGTTTCGTATTTCACAAGGGTACGCCTGTAAATTGCATCTCCAAATTGATAATGGTACCGAAACTGTCTTTCATATGAAGGCAATGCTTTCAAAGCAGGGTCCGAGGCTTCATCCAAAGGATGAGGATCGTGGGATGAAGTCGGTCTTGGAGGGTCAGGATGATTATTTTCAGCCACTTCAACTTCCTCCGGTCCAGGTGGGGCCGAATTAGTTCGCATTTTCGCTCTATTAAACAAGAAAACTTCTCGATCATCCGATGGGAGTTTGTATGCAGAGAGTGGCTGTTGAGGTTCTAATTTCAAATCCAAATACAGCAGAAGCTGATCATTTAATCGAATCTCCGAAAGAGATTCTAAATATTGTTGGACTGATTCAACAAGGGTGTCTTCATCGCAATCAAGTTCAAAAGAATGCCCGTTTTCAGCTATATGAACTAGAAGCTTTCCCCTTTGGATTACATTTTCATTTGAACTCATCTTCTTTAACCCGAAACCAGCTCAATAAACCCGAGATAGATTAGAGAAGGTTTCCCAATTCAATCCCACAAATAACCTAAACCATTATATGGATAGAGATAGAGAGAGAAAAAGACCACCGTACCCTCGGCCGATTTGATCAAATCCAGCTAGTTTTTCAGCATCGACGAAATCTGCAAGGAAAATTTAGTGGAAACCTCAATAAAACCCTAAAATAAATCAATACCCACCACCGAAATCTATAAAAGTCATCTAATTTAGGAAACTAAAAGAAATCTATCGTCAACAAAAACCCTAACACTCAGCAACCGACCATTAAAATTTACACAAGATTTAGAAAACCCACCAAGATTCTGTAGATAGAGCCCTAAGATTAACCGAATCACAACTCAAATCGTCAAAATTGGGAAGAATCAGCAAGATTTTTATCCAAATAAACGATTACCCACAAAGGAAAATGGAGTATACTTGTATATATACTAAACTCCCATGATGGGTTGAATGGAGAAATAGGAAGGAAAAAACAAAAACCCAAAAAAGAGAGATAATCAATGACGTAAACGCAAAGGGGGAAAACAAGAATATATGGAATTACTTAAGAAATTGGCTAAGAAAACACAAGTTAATCAGGAAAGAGGGGTCTTCTATTTAAGAGATTCAATGGATTTATAAAAATGTGAATATTTTTCTGGTTAGATTATTAAAATATAAAATAGTATATGGGTGGCAGATAAGAACCTGCTGAGATGAGTAAACCACAAGGCACATCGCTTGCTCCGTTTTGTACTTGTTCTGTTCTTCCTCCACAGATTCAGCTATGGAAGAACAGAAGATTGTGATTCAGCAGGCTGTATGTATACGTATATGTATATGTATATGCATGTTACTGTTTGATCTTATAGCCGTATTCTGCTGTGTTTAATTCCGCCTTTTTCTATTGTTTTGGGTTTGGATGATGATGAAGACTATCTATCCTAATCCTATTCCTAGTCCTAGTCCTAGTCCTATCATGATTGTGTTTATAGTTGTTAAATTTCCCTTAACTATGTCAATTTTTAATTGCTGCTTTTTCTAATATGGCAATAAACTTGATCCAACATTGCCTTTTCTTTTATGTTTTCTAAAGTTGAGAATTCCATTTCACTATCTTTATTTTTATTTTTTTTAAAATGAAGATTTATCGGTTGGTTACCTATTTTATAAATTACTAGAAGGATACTCGTACAATGCAACGAGATATATCTTGATTTTAATGTTTCGGTTTATATATTGGCTCTATCGATGTCATAATGCGATTTTATGTGGTTTTGAGAAAAAGAAAAAGTTTTTATTTTTGAATGAAATATAAATTTAAAGATATTATAAAATTTTGAAAAAAGTAATCGATATTATTATTAAATTAACTATTTAAAAGTTTTTGTTTTTGTGTAATTTCTTTAATTTAATTTTTTAATGTAATTTAATTGAAGTTCAATAACAAACTAATTTATTTTTGGTTTAATAAAATAATTTTTAAGATAATAATTAAATATTTTGTTATAAATAAATAATTATTCTGATTATATTTTAGATTTTTTAAATTTAAAATGATGTTTATCATGTATTTGATTGTGTTTATCTGTAGTTAGTTACACGAATTCAAACATGGAGCTTTAATAAGATGTATTCATGCATATTCTACTTATAATCTTGAATTTTAAATAATATGCATTAGTAAACAGTACTTTATGCATAAAAAATTGTTTTTAAGAGTTTTTGTCAAATTCTTTATAATATAACTAGAAGGGTTTTCGTGCAATGCATCGAGACACATCTTGATTTCAGGGTTTCATTTTATTCTTTTTTTATGTCGATATAATATGGTTTTATATGGTTTTGAGAAAGTGATAATGTTTTTATTTTTGAATAAAATATAAATTTAAAAATATTATAAAATTTTGAAGAAAAAAAAATATCGATACCAGTATCAAATTAATTTTTTTAAAAGTTCTTGTGTTTTGGTGTAATTTTCTTAATCAAAATTTTTTAATTGTAATTTAATTCAGGTTTAGTACCAAAGAAATTTAGATTTAATAATATAATTTTTTATAAAGATAATAACTAAGTATTCTGTTAGTTATCAATGATTATCCTAATTATATTTTAGATTTTTTATATTTAAAATGAGAAATTTATCCAATATTTGATGATGTTTATCTATCAATAGTTAGACGAATTCAAGTATGAAGCTTTAATAAGTTGTACTTATATACAATTTATTTGTAATCTTAAATTTTAAGTAATATGCATCAATAAATAGTACTTCGTGCATAAAAAATGGATTTTAAGAGTTTTTGTCAAATGTTTTATAATATAGTATAGATATAGATATAGATTAATTTTGGTTTAATAATGTTAATTTTTTTATAAAGATAATAATTAAACTTTATGCTAGAACTTAATGATTATCTTAATTATATTTTAGATTTTCTATATTTAAAATGGATGTTTATCCTGTATTTGATTATTTTTATCAGCAGTTAATTACACGAATTTAAAAATGGAGCTTTAATAAGTTGTAATTACGCAAAATTATTTGTAATCTTAAATTTTAAATAATATGCATCAATAAACAGTACTTCATGCACAAAAATAGTTTTTTAAAAATTTTGTCAAATGCTTTATAATATAGTATAGATAATTTTGTGTTAAAATAGTTCGTTGTTCATCGGTTAGTTTATTTTTACCTTTTTATAAACTTCAAACGTGAAGTTTTAAGAAGTTATATGTATGTTTTGTAAACTTAAATTTTATAATCATTTAGAAATACGAGATAAATATATTAATAAAAATATATGAAACTATTTGCATGTAAAAATATTTATGATGAATAAATTTCGAAAACTCGATGAAAATTTGATTAAAATATATACTTATATATATATATATATATATATATATATATAGGGGTGAGTTCAAATAAAAACCACTTAATTTGTAAAAATCGTGAAAACCTCATTCAACCAATCATAWTTTTTCATTTTGTTCATTTTTTTGTAATTATGAGAGGTTGATTAACCATTTTTATTGTTGAGGGTGTTAATCATGGATATTATCATCTTCATTATTTTAATTTTAGAGAAATACATGAAACAGTTTCATTAAAATTTCATTAAGTAGTATATGAAACAATTTCATAACCACATATGAAACAACTTCATCAAAAAAAATATTATATGAAACAAATTCACAAGATTAACAATTTCATGAAAAAAATTCATAAGATTAACGATGGATTAAAAGAATAAAATACTTATAGAGTTTACCACTTAATTTGTTAATTTTTTTATCTGCCCAAAAAGTAAGTGATAAATTATTTATAGACTATGATAGTTTGTATCATTAAATTTTAATATATTGCATAACTAACAGTAAGTGATACTAAATAGGTTTTTTGGGTTGGGCTCCAGTGAGAATGAGGATTAAGGTGAGAAGTATTCAGAAGCATATTAAGATGAGATGCACCGAGATGAGAAATATCGAAATGCACCAAAAACTCGTTATCAAGCATCATTCATGGTAGGCATAAGATTAAAGATGATCAAGGGTCCAAAACCTTTTTTTTGCTTCACGCTTCTCACTTTAACTCTCTTTCTTATACGATTAGGAATGGCAAAGGGTTAGGTTGGGTTCGGGTTTAACTCATTTATTAAACAGATTGAAAATCTTAATTCCACCCAACTCATTTAATTAAACTAGAAGCGTACTCGCACAATGCAGCGAGATACATCATGATTTTAATATTTCATTTTATTCCTTATCTCAGTCGATGTTATAATATGACTTTAT